GGGCCCAGGCGGGCTCCTGCGCTCCTTCCAGCTCGCCTCCCCCCTCCGGGATTCCTGAGGGAGCCCAACTTTCTCTAGCCGGAGCTAGAGCAGCCTGGGTGCCCTGCTTGGCCAGCAGGAGACAGAGCGATGGGGGGGTGGGGCTGGTGTGTGTGTGTGTGTGGGGGGTGACTTCCTTGGGGCCTGAATTCCGATATTTGCCCACCCTGGGGTGTGTTTTCCAGCTGGATGGGTCTGGCCCGTCCTAGGCAGCGGGGAGTCATTGCCATTAAACAGTTAACACTCCCCCACCCCACCAGCTGCCCGGCACAGCTGACCACAGGCTCTTGGAGAAATGTCCCACTGCAGCAGCCCAGGACTCAGCTGTGCCAACACCTGCTGGGGAGCAGCAGGGATCTGACCACAGAGTCAGGCAGGTAAGGAGAAACTGGAGTGGTGGAGGAGGGAGGAGAGTTTTATTCCAGCCGGGTGTGAGCAGTCTTCTTGGTGGATGGATCCCGCCCTTCAGGTCTGGCGAGCCTCCTGCAATGTTGCCCCACCTCTTTCTATTTGTGGACTAAGGATGTTAAGAGGCAGGCAATGAAGTAATTGTGTAGTCGATACCGTTTGTATCAACTACGGGATTAGTCGGTAAGGGAAGGTGCTACCCCAGCTGTGGTTCTGCAGTTTAAATCTAGTAAGAGTCAGGACCATGGTGGACAGAAGCGGCTGCCTTTTACTACATTTTAAATAGCAGAGCCATGGCTGGGGTAGCTCCTTCTGAGGGCCTTTCTGTATTGACTGTTCTTAAGCATCCTTAATGAAAAGGCTCAGAGGGATAGCTGGGTTAGTCTGTAACTTGAAAAACCACGAGTAGTCTTGCGGTATCTTAGGGACTAACAAAAAAAATGGAATCATGAGCTTTCGTGGGCAAAGCCCACGAAATTGGAGTGGAAATAACAGAAAACAAGATGTATATATTTAACAGCAGAACAAGTACCTGTCAATTGTAGGGCCTGTGTTAATGAGGCGAATTAAGTGGTCTGGATGTGTCCCGTTCACAGCATTTGTTGTGAAAATGTGCATGATAGAGGCAGGAGAAATTGGCTTTTCTTTGTGCCAACCAGTTAAGGTGTTTGTTCAAGCCTACGGTAACAGTGTCAAATTTGAAGATGAATTCCAGTTCTGCAGACACTCTCTGTAATTGGTTAGTGAAATTCCTTTGTAGAAGAATGGCTACTTTTAAATCCATGATTGAGTGACCAGGAAGATTAAAATGTCCCCTGACAGGTTTATGCATGTTATGGATTCGAACAGAGGTTCCTGCAACGCCCATTAGGCATAAGTGTCTGCTCCACGTTTGTGCCCTTACTGGACATAGCTGGAGTTTGCACTGTTGTAACCAGGTTGGTCCTGGGATATTAGAGGGACAAGGGGGTGGTGAGGTCATAGCTTTTATCGGACCAACTTTGGGTAGTGGGCGAGACCTGGCGAAGAGAGCCGCCTGCGGTCCCACAGCTCAGGGAGGAGGGAGAACGTGCTGAGAGAGGTGCTGGAAGGCTGACATGGCTGATTTAGACAACTTGCTGCCCCAGGCCGGGTGGGAATTTTGCCCTGGCGCTTTCTGCCTGGCGCTGTCTGCACGGCTGTGACCTGCAGGGTTCGCGCAGCTCAGGCCGTGACGATAAATGTTACATATTTGACTGCCGTCCAAATCTTAATCCAGCGACTGGAGAGATGGGAGTGGGGGAGGGAGAAGATCAGAGGGCGGCAGGTTTGTAAACAACAGCAGGCATGGTGGGAAAGGAGAGCTCGTGGCGCTTTAAAGCTGGGCTGGTGGAAGGCTGGGAGCTGTTCCCAGAGCTTGCTATGCTCTGTTGGGTTTGATGGAGATGGTTTTCTTTAAACAGCAGGGCGGGGGGAGGGGAGTGGGGCTGCCACTGGACTGCTGAGTCCGACCATTGAGTTTTTAGCTGCTCTGTTGAGACCATCTCGGGACCTAATTGGTGCCGCTGTAGGTGGTGGTTTTGACACCTGCTCCCACGTAGCCACGCGGGGACCCACCAACACGTTTCCCAGCAGCTCCGAAGCAGCTGCTACCCGGGGCTAACGTCTTGCTCGCTCCCACCCTGGGCTGGGCTAGAAGCGGGGATTCTAGCTACGGAGGGAAAGCGTGCACGAGGCGTAACGAGGAGGGAAAGTGGTGACACACAGAGCTGGAATGAACGCTAAGTGGTGTGTCATGGGAAATGGTGGCGAAAGCCAACTCCAAGCCCTTTCTTTTAGACAGGCTGATGGCTCTTTACGAACCATTAACTGATAAGTCATGGCCATTCCCCCTGCCCCCCACCCCACCCCACCCCCACGTCCTGCTCTGGACACGTGGTGAGCCAGAGTGTGAGACATTCGCGGAGGCGGCTCGTGAAGCAGGAGGGTGGCAAAGCCCTCACGGCCCGAGGCAGCTGAGAAGCCGGCCAGAGGAAGCCCACCTGTTAGAGGGGGAGCCCCATAGAGAGGGGAGAGCAACTCCTCTGCCCCCCCCCCGCTCCTGACGGTTGGCAGAGGTTGGAAGACGCCTGCCTTGGGGGCGGAATGCTGTAGCTGATTAACTGATAAGCAAAAGCTTTATAGGTTAATGCATTTTCCCCCCCTCCCACAAATTGTTTAGCTGGCTGTCCACCAGCAGCCTGGCTCAGTGCCCGGTCTGAGACCTACCCACGCTGTGGCTCTGCATTTAAAGTGTATCAGGCAGCCTGGCTCAGTTCTGGCTCGTGCAGGATCCGGGAGCTCAGCACCCACCCTGGACAGCAGCGCGGAGTGGCAGGCACCCGGTCCTCGTGAGGAGCTGGTTTTTAAACAGGCTCCTCTAATGGACCAGCACCCACAGGGTACACCACGCTGCTGCCTCTGATTCAGAGCAGCAGTGTGGGGTGATGGGGCTCCTTGGGGGTGTGGCCAGTGTGCGCTGGCTGCTGGCCCCGCCCCCAGGGACTATAGAAGAGTCGAGTAACTGATAAAAACTCATGAGGTTAATCGACTATTCAGTTAACTTCCCTACGCTGCCTGTCTCCAGCTGCCATAATAGGCCATTGGAGACCCCAACGAGGGGACCGCTGGCTCTGATTCGTGCTGGGGACTGAACAGCTGAGGATCGGGGCCCTCTCAAAGCCATCTTTGCCTCCACCCCCATCCCACTGTGCACCAAGGGTGAGATGGCGGGTGCAGAAGGGCAAGCCCCGTGGAGCTCAGGGAGGAAGCCGGCTTTAAGACACTGCCGGGCCTTGGGATTTGGGGCTACTTCCGGGATTTAAATAACCTTCCAGCAGGGGAGCGAGGGAAGTCTCCTCCCACACCAGGGGCATGGGCATCTTGGGGGAACTTGGGGTGGGGCAAAGGCACACCCTCACCCCCAGACCTGTCATTGTCTGAGGGTGGGGAACCCAGAAATATCTTGCCCTGCCCCTTCCGCTCAATGCCCGGGGCCACTTCCAAACTTTTCGAAGTGGCCCCTGGCAAAAAATTATTGCCCGTCCCTGCTCTAGACACTGCTGGCCCACTAGGTCTGAGGATCGGGGCCCACCGCTATAGCAACAGTCCCTGCGTGGCCTAGGTTTGGTCACCGAAGCCACGGCTGTGGCAGACGCCCTGTGACCCATCCCCCTCGCGCCTCCAAGCTCCCAAGAAGGTTTGCCAAGCCCTGCCTCCCCCCTTTCCAGGGCAGAGCACAAAGGCTCTTGTGCGGGCGGATGCATGGCCCCAGGTTGTGTGACTCACTCCCCGCTCCGCTCCCTGGCACTTGGCAGGTGGCCCGCTTGCCCTTGGGTGTCACATGAGTTTCTGCCATTCCCGAGGAATTCTGCATTCATTGAAGAGCCGTAAACATTCGGCAAGTCGTGATCAGACTACAAAGGAGTCTATAAAAGCACATTGAGGCTGACGGGTCAAAGGGCTGTCTGCACACAATGCTGCCAGTCTGTGGGTCTGATTTGAATCCCTGTACCCTGGTTTTCTCTTTTCTGTGGGCCGCTGACTGCCTGGCATTTTCCGTGGTTGAAGGCTCCTCGAAGAGGTGTGTCAGACCAGGGTGCGCTTACACCTCGCAGGAGGGACGGTGGGGAGAGAGGCCCAGCCGTGGCAGAGAGGAGAGTAGGACTTGCACTGTCACCAGTTTCACAATTTCCGAATTAACCTGTCTAGGCACCTTCAGGCGGATTCTCTGCAGCGTGGGCTGAAGGCTGAGAGACTCAGCCTGTCTCAAAGCCCTTTGTTATCCCTGAATTATACATCTTAAGGGCTTGTCTACACTGCTACTTCACTGCGCCGTAACTTTCTCACTCAGGGGTGTGAAAAACACCTCCCCTCCCTTCCCCCGAGTGCAGCAAGTTACAGTAGCTGTTAGCTACTCCCATCGTGTTTTAGGTGGTTTAACTAACGCGCTCCCAGCGCCGGTGCCGTGACCACACTCATGTGTCAAGGTGTTGCTGCAACAGCGCTTTAAACTTACAATTGCAAAGAAAAGATAAGGCACAGCGAGATGTATGGTGTGCGGCAAAACAGCTGTTCGAGAAGTCAGCGCCAGAGGTGGGAACAGATCCCACAGCTCTGGACTCCCAGCATTAGCCACTTCTGTAGTTTTACCTCTCTCCTGCATGTTCGCTGGCACCTGTAAGTGACTGTCTTGCCACAGCTGTTATAACTGTCAGTGACTGACATTTGTGAGAACATAAGAAGGGCCACACCGGGTCAGACCAAAGATCCATCTAGCCCAGTGTCCTGTCTTCTGACAGTGGCCAATGCCAGATGCCCCAGAGGGAGGGAACACAACAGGTAATCCTCACGTGATCCCTCCCCTGTCACCCATTTCCAGAAAAACAGAGGCTAGGATCACCATTCCTACCCATCCTGGCTAATAGCCATTGATGGACCTAACCTCCATGAGTTTATCTAGCTCCTTTTTGAACCATGTTATAGTCCTGGTCTTCACAACATCCTCTGGCAAGGAGTTCCACAGATTGACTGTACGCTGCATGAAGAAAAACTTGTTGTTTGTTTTTAATCCTGCTGCCTATTAATTTCATTTGGTGACTCCTAGTTCTTATATTATGGGAACATGTTAATAACTTTTCCTCATTCATTTTTTTCCACATCAGTCATGATTTTATAGACCTCTGTCATAACCCCCCTTAATCTCCTCTTTTCTAAACTGAAAAGTCCAAGTCTTTTAAATCGCTCGTCATATGAGACCCGTTCCAAACCCCTCATCATCTTTGTTGCCCTTTTCTGAACCTTTTTCAATGCCAAGAGATCTTTTGTGAGATGAGGCGACTGCGTCTGCACACCGTATTCAAGATGTGGGCGTACCATGGTTTTATAAAGAGGTAAAGAATAAGACAGAAAATATCCTATTATCCCTTTCTAAATGATTCCTAGCATGCTA